TGTGGGGGAGAGGAGCAAAGCTCCTCTGTGTTAATGAAATTATTCCGTTCCTGGACAAGTTTTCTTTCCCTTCTTCAGGTTTTCCCATGAGAGAGGCAAGCTGGATTTAATGGTTAACACAATGGCTAGTGATGCACTACATGGATGCATTGAGTTATACTACAAAAAAAAAAAAGAAAAAAGATAGTGTTCCATATTCGCCATGGGCATCTGAGTGTAAGACATCTGAGGGCTTGTCTACACAGACATTTTATTCTCCGCAAGCTGACTGTCCACACGGTCCCTGCTGATGCACATTAACAGTTTGTTATATGTTAATGAATGGCAGGAGCGTCTGCACAGACAGTTACTCTGAGGCAGGTTAGTGCAAGGTGGATTCATATCCTGCTTGCTGCAAAGTATTTGTGTATACAAGCCCTGGATAAAGCCAAAATAATAGTGTTAAATAACAACCCCTTACCCTAGTACAGATAAGATCACAACAAAAACAAAATCAAGCAATACATGTCAATATTCCAAAACCAGAATTAACTCAAACTGCTTTTCACATCCCTTATATTTTATATCGTACTTTCAATGACAAATAGTATTATTGAAAATAGTAATGTATTAAGCTACTGATTTGCTGTAACAAGAAAATAAGAACTAGAAAATAGTGTGTATACATGCTGCCTAGGTTTGCATTTGCCTAGGTTTGACATGCATCTGACGAAATGAGTCTTTGCCCACGAAAGCTTATGCTCCTATATATCTGTCTATAAGGTGCTACAGGACTCCTTGTCGCTTTAGGTTTGCATTGTTGATGGAATTCTTTAATTTTTGAATTTTCTGATTTGGCAATGTTTAGCCAGTGTGATATTAACAATGTGCTAACAAGTTCTGCATGTTAGTTTATTTTTTTTAAATAAAAGACTTGCCCATGTTCAGCGATATTAGTTATAATTAGGCTGTGACCATGATGGTCCACTTAGGCAAATGGGTGATAAGTGGAGGTAAATCTCCAATTTTGTTGCAGCTAGTATTATATAACATAAAACAGTTTTCTTATTAGTTTACAGTGGGACAGCTTTATCTTGATAAAGAAAGGAGAAATTTAATTTTAAAGAAATCTTAGAGTCCAGTACTTCACAGAATGCCACAAATATTATGGAGTGTCCTGAAATTTCTATTATCTGATTTTTTTCTTCCATTCCTGAAATCTTTCTCTTTTTTTTGTGGTATGAGTTCAATGAATAATTTACATTTACCTTCCTGCACACTGTCTCAGCAAGATCGTGAGAGTAGCAGTATGCTCTCTGCCCGTCATGCCAGGCTCTTTGAGAATATTGGTTCATGTTATAAATGGGCCTGGTTTTATTAGGTTTAGCTAAAAATGCTAGCATGATCAGAAGTGATGCAATTCACTGAACATACTCTGAAAGGGGGCATTCAGTTATCTATTGAGTATGTGTATGTGTCCATGTGTCAAATGGCTAGCCTCTTTGTTGACACTGTAATAAAAAAAATATGCCACCAAGCTTCACAGCTCAGATCAACTGACTCAGGCTTGTGAAACTCACAGTGGGTAGCTAAAATAGTGTAGATTTTTGGCTTTGGGCCTGGATGTGGTTCAGAGTCCCCCGCCCCCGGCTCAAGTCCAAGCCTGAATGTCTACGCTGCAATTTTTACCCCTGAAGTAGAACCCCACCAGCCCAAGTCAGGTGACCCAGGCCAGCCATGGCCATGCTGCAGGTCTGTTATTGAAATGTAGATGTGTCAAGGGTATGTCTACATTTGAATTAGGAAGTGAGATTCCCACCAGGTGTCGACACACCTGTAGTAGCTTGGCTTGAGCCAGCACCTAGAAATGCAGTGTGTCCCCAGCAGTGTAGGTACCAGCTCTGGATAGCTGTCTTTGCAGGAACCCAGGAGGTTGGGCAGAGTTGTACTTGGGGTGGGCTAGCCTAAACAGTGCTTCTGCAGACATGCTGCTATTTTGAGGTACTACCTTCACCAGAGCTAGTGCACCAGGTACATCTCCACAAGCTGGGAAGCACATCTCCTCCCAGCTGAAATTAAATCTTAAGACTGTAACATCTTACTTCTTACTAAGTCCTGAAGGAGTTACTCCTCTAACTTACTGGTAAGGCGCTCTGTTTGATTCGACTTCCACTCAAGGTACCTTCACACATGCATGCTCAGGTAACAAACAAAGCGATTTTTCAATTGCTTTACCATGTTTATAGTTAAGCAAAGCCTATTCCACTGAGGGCTCTGTTCATGCTCAGTAATAAACATGGCAAAGCAATTTAAAAAAATATCACTTTATTTGTTACATAAGCATACATCAAACATTGGACACATGTGTAAATGTACCTTGAAGGTCAGCTGTTGTGCTCTCCATTTTTCTTGTGGCACTGTCTAGAATTGTTTTTGTGGGGAAAAATTGGACTTTTTCCTTCCTCATTCTCTCATGACTCAAAGATAACTACAGGGATTGTACTCAAATGCCTGAATAAATAGATCTCTTCTGCCAAAGACTAGGCATCAGAATTTACAGCCACAAAATTGAATATGGAAATAAAAGGTATTCACAGAAAGTTGTACAGCTCTATTGTAGTAGGTACGACCAGGTGTCTGTCTAAAAAACAAACCAACTGTAATTCCCTTGTGTATACTCTGAAAGGCCTGATTACATTATCCCAGAAGTGTTAAGAAAAAGAACAGGTGCAGCCCTGTTAGTTACTGTAACATAACTTTGGTCACGGAACTCCCCAAGCTGCAACTTTGGATTCCCCTTCAAGTTGCAGGTTAAAAGGAATCAGCAAGTTCAGGTCAGCTGTCAGTGACACCACTGTAAATCTAGTGATGCCAACTGAAGTTAGGGGCTTTAACTAGTTATCCCCTAGTCAGAGTAATGAAATGCAGAACAGAGTTTGGCTCAGTGGGTTTAACCATTAGAAAGTGGAACTAACCTAATACTTGATACAAGCTGACTTATCCAAATCTTTCAGCCAAAGACCGCTTTCAGTTACAGTGGTGTAAATTAAGAGTATCTCCATTGCCTTAATTGGAAGTATTTCAGATTAAAGCAGAATTTGATCCTGTATTTTTTAAAAGACATAATAATAATATCATTAATAATTAATAATAAATACCTAATTCTTACATAACATTTTCATTTATAGCACTTAAAGTGCTAAAGGAGGTCAATATCATTATCCTTATTTTACAGATGGGGAAGCCAAGACCTAGGGAGGTATACGAATTGTCCAGCATCACTGAGCAGGTCAATGGCAGGGCCAGAAATAGAACTCCTGTATCCCTGCACCCAAAAGCTTAGCAATACACACAGACACTTGCTAGTCCTTCTTGCTATAGTTTTACAAGTGGTATTTTTGTACCTTTGGGAAAGTACTCATTTTCACTAACCTCCAACTTGCTTTATGGATTGGAATGAAGTTTTATTTTGAGCTTACAATGTAACCACTATGTGGAAGAGTTTTTTATATTCTTAGATTTACATGCTTTTCAAAAATGTATTTTATGAGAGTCTGCATTGCAGGTCCTAGAGGTTTCATGTACAGATTCACAGTAGCCTTTTGTATATAAAGGTATTATATAAGGGTATGTCTAAACTACATGGCTCCATCGACGGAGCCATGTAGATTTGTTGTTTTGGCAAAGGCAAATGAAGCCACGATTTAAATGATCGCGGCTTCATTTACATTTACATGGCTGCCGCGCTGAGCCGACAAACAGCTGATCAGCTGTTTGT